TTTTTTTTTTTTTTTGGAAGAAACAGCCGCGTAGGACAGCTTGAGGTGCCGGTAGGAGTAGTCGCCTCAAGCTGTCCCTGGGTGGCTCCATCGATTGGTGGGGAGCAGCACCTGCTGAGAAGCGGGCCCAGCGTCCCTTATGGATGGACTGGTGATTTAAGGGATGCCCTGTAAAGATCTGCAGATGATCTACTTCGATCAGATAGAGTGAGCAGTGCTGCTGAGGAATTGAGAAAAGGCAAACAGGAAAAGTCAAGGGGAGATGAAAAAGAATGTTGAAGTGGAAAAGGTGTGACAAGATGTGTGCACAGGATTCCGGCACAGCGCAGTTGTTACAGATCCCTTTGTTTTTTTTTTTAGGATTATGGCACAGTGCAGTTGTTGCAGATCCTTGTGTGCTGTGAAGAAATTAAACCACGAGTACCTCCTCCAGTGAGGAGGCAAAATAGGGAGGCCTTGGGTGGGCCTCCGATCTTTTAGGAGGCCGAAGCGAAACGACTGCCGTTGGTGAGATTTACCAATGGCGGCCGTCGATGGGCCCTGCCCCCCTATTGTTTAGGACTTCAGAGGTACTAGTGGTTTAAAAGGGTGCACTGAGCAGGTGCCACTACCTGTGAGGAGGGAAAAAGAAGCTTAGAAAAGGGAGTACCACATGGTCACAGCATCCCGGCTTTGCATACAACTTGAGGCTTGTTAATGACAAGAAGCAGGAGAGGAGGAGCAGGTGCCGCTTGCTACCGATGAGGAGGAGAAGAACGTAAAAAAAAGCAGCACCACATGCCACTGTGTTCCATCCTTGATTCCTTGTATACAGTGTCAATGACAAGGAGCAGGAGAGGTGGAGGAGGACAAGGAGGAAACACTAACATTGTAGAGGGGGAGGAGGATGACCAAAATGTTGAGGAAGGGGAAGACCAAAGGGGAAAGAGAGGGATTTCATGTGTGAATTAGCCATGTGCATTGATGCGCCAGAGGATGAACAACAGGAGAAGGGCGAAGAAGAGCAGGAGGGATAGGAGGAGAGGAAGAGTACAAGGCGGTGAAGCAGGGAATGGGGTTGAGCAAGAGTTGGTCCTGTGTGCGCTGATGTGCCAAAGGATGAACAATCAGGAGAACGACGAAGAGAAGAGCACGAGGGATAGGAGGAAAGGAAGAGTACAAGGCGGTGCAGCAGGGAATGGGGTTGTGGAAGAGTCGTGGGAGGAGGAAGACAAACATCCAGGTAATGGTGATATCTTTTTTTCGGCTTTTTTCTTCTTCGAAATGGCCTGATGGACGATGGGTCAGATAGTAACCTGATCAGAACAGATACTAAGCAGACTGGCTTTTTTTCTTCATCTTAGCCAAAATAATGGTGATATCTAAGAAGAAGAAGAAAGAAGAAGAAGAAGAAGAAGAAGAAGAAGAAAGAAGCAAGGAAAAAACAAGAAGACGAACAGGGAATTTGGTGCAATGCATGGCATTTCAGCCCTTAACAGGTGGGGTCGGTGGTGTTGACAGTGGTGATGACCTGTGCCATTTTTCTCAGGGAAACAGTACCCGGTACATGCCTGGATCTGGGCCAGCAGTTCAGCAAGCATGTGAGCATTGCGGCAAACACTTCAATATGGGAGGGCCTATATGGTCGGCACCCATTCATAACATGCCATGGGTCAATAGCACCCTATCGCGATTATGTGCCATGAAGCGCAGATATCCTGCATTCGAAAAGGTCCATAGCATCTTGACTACCGTAGCAGAGGTAAGCAGACCCTTTAACCAGCACATGGCACGTGTTTTCTGGCTCTCTCCTCTCCCCACTTCTTTTCGCCCATCGCCTACCCGTCCTATGCATCGTGCAGTTTTCTCCGGGCCAGGCAGGGTCCAGGCAGGGTCCTGGGTGATCCCAGCGCCTACGCCTACTTCTATGAACTAGTATGAACTTTTTTTTTAAGTCCACAACTCCGGCTTGAAATGATGCTATGGGTTGAGTGATGAGTTCATCCAGGTCTGGATCCATGAGTGCGGTAGTGGGCAGGAGCTGTTGAGGTTCATCTGCACTTCCAGATTCTCTTGCTGGTTGAGATTCTGGTCCAGATTCTGAACCCGTTCCAGATTCTGTTCCAGATACTGAATCAGTTCCAGATCCTGATTGTGGTGTAGATTCTGTTCCATATTCTGAATCTGTTGTATATGCTGTGGATTGCATGGCGAGGTCACTGAAATGCTGCAAATAGCGTTGCGTAAATTTGGACCATTTCGCAATTTATGTGTGTCATCCTTGAAAGCGCAGGGGCCATTTGCTAATCTACCCTTCTCTGCATCGTTCCAATTTTAATGTGTGTCCCGAAGGACGTGTTCCCAAAGAGCTGCTATTGCTCTTAAAAAAGAAGTTGCAAAACGAAGTCCTGATTGAAGTTGATTGTGATCATGGAGAAAGACGGGTGATGCTAAGCTGAAAAAAGGTCACTGGGCCTTCTCCCATTGTCCTTGTTGTGTGTTTTATGTTTTTGTCGATAACAGGAGCTTGAGGACTGCCCACTGTACCTGAGCTTGCATTCAATATGTGGCACCTTGAAGTGCACCCCGCCATCTGGGGCCATGTTCCGGTCAGCTATTGTGAACGCGGGGTACCGAATCTCGAACACGCATGCAAATCCACTCGGGCTCAAGACAGACGCTCCGTTTGACGTAATTTGGGATATCATGAGATGCTGGGTACGTCCTCCTGCTGCTCCTTTTACGACTCTAATTGCACACCCTCTCTACGTTGCCTCCCACCCACAAGCTGCACCTTGCTTATCTTGTGAAGATTTTCAGCAATGTCGATTGGCCGACTGCAGGTCTAGGAAACACAAACTTTTGCCGTCGACTGAAAATGCTCTCCACACATCTTGTGAGGTGTGTAGTACTGTGTACTGATGACCAAAATGAATTTATCAATTTTATCTTTATCTTTATCCTCTTGTCCACGCGTGCAGGTCAAGTCACACCCCGTGAAACCGCAGGCTGAAGAGACACCTGGGACTCTGATTTTGAAAAAGGAGCCGGCCTTACAGGTAAAGCAAAATAATAATTTTAATAATTTAATTATTTAAATACATCAGTCCCTCTCATCTCATGCGCATTCTCCCAACATAAATCAGCCCGTCTCACCTCAAATGCGTTCTCTTTTTTCAAGTTTTTTTTCTTCTTTTTTTTTAACTTTTTTTTTTCAGAATGCATGTTGGCTGCAGTGAGCAATGATGCAATTGAATCAATTCATGAATGCGATTATGTGAGAATTCTCTTCGATTCAACGGTACAGTCATGGTGTTCTCGATTAGGTCCTAGTTGGCTTCTGGTATCCTGACCCTTCTGTTTGTTTACTCTTTATCTTTTGATTCTTTTCTGAGGGGTATCAGCGAAAATGACACCCAGGCCTCCTTTCTCATCTTGTTTAATAAGGGACTATTCTTTCCGATTGAATCATCGACCGAGGATTCGAACTCAGGATCTGTTTATCACCAGTTACATGGCGCACTGTTGTACACCTCACTGTTGTACACAAGCCATGTAACTGATTCCGATTGAACCAACCGAGGATTCAAACTCATGATTATTGTTTCCAATTGAATCATCAACCGAGGATTCGAACTCATGATCTGTTTATCAACAGGTACAGGTCTCACTGTTGTACACCTCAGTGTTGTACACAGCAGGCCATGATGGATTCAGCCACATGGCTTGTGTACGACACTGAGGTTCGAATCCATCATGGCCTGCTGAACAACCTCGCCAACGCCTGCTGCCAGAAAACAAAACTGTGGTGTCCTTTCCGAGACATCCGTTAAATTTGAATGCTACAGAGAAGACTGGCATTGCCCCTGCGCAGGGGTGACATGCATTAAAAAAGAAAAAAAAAAAAAGAAAAAAAAGAAAGGCAGGCAGAGAAAACTTAATCTCATCAAAGAAGAAGAAGAAGAAGAAGAAGAAGAAGAAGAAGGAACTGTGGTCATGAGATCGTCGGTACGACAGGTGAACTGCAAAGGAGGGTGCTGCTCAAGGTAACGAGGGGGGTCATTTATGATCAGATGATTGGTGGCTGGGTCTGGCCTTTTGTTGCTATTCGGAAGTTTAACATCGTCGTTTGTGCATGCCAGGGGTTTTCTATACCCCCCCCTGGCAAAAACGTTTTTGGATTCTGTGTACCATGCATCTGAGTCGCTGACCCCTACGTATTTCCGCTTGCCGTTGGTCGACAAACATCCAGGCAAATTTTGCGAGAGTCCATTCTGCGTTGAGTCGAGCACAGGTGAGCGGCGTCCCTAGATATCTGCCGAATCCTGAGCCTCAGTGGGGTCCGAAACCGCGCGCTGGACGGACTCTGGGACCGAAGCATATGGCGTCCCACAGGCCTCCAGAGGGGCAATCGATGGCAAAGAAGGCAGAGCGTGAAGGTGAGCACGAGCATGAAGAGAATGGTGAACAAGGAAGAGAGTGCAAGAGAGTGCGCTTAGGAACAGAAGAGGCTTTCGGCGAGTGAAAGGCGATCCGTGGACGCGGGAGGAGAATGGCCAGCAAGAAACAGAGAGCAACGGCGTGTGCTCATGACGAGAAGAGGGGTCCGGGGAATAAAAGGCGACCCAGCGAACGAGAGTAGAACTACTAGCAACAGGAAGAGAGAGCAAGAGTGCGTGCTCGCGAACAGAAAAAAAGAGGCGTCTGGTGTGTATGTAAGAGGTGAGAGCATGAGCAGAGGAGAACGACCGACAAAAAGAGAGAGCAAGAGGTACAAATTAGGGAACAACAGAAATTTTCAGTGAGAGCCTTAGAGATGGCACCGCCGGCTGTGGTTAAAGGCCAGCAATGGTTGACCTTCAAGCGCCGGAGATGGACGCATTTTGCGAATGTGTTAAGTCCAGCAAATGTGGAATCGAGGAATTTTCTTTCTGATTCGGTTGTCCCTTTGCCTGATTTGTCCTTCCTTGCTGGTGGTTATCCTCTGCCAATGCCACTCTGCAGCTGCTGCTATTGTTGTTGTTGTTGTTGCTTTTTTTTTTTTTTGTTTTGTTTTTTGTTTTTTGTTTTGTTTTGTTTTGTTTTGTTTACTTGTAAGTTACTTGTAACCTTTTCTGCCACCTCTAGTTACCCCACCTCCTTCCCTGTTTTTTTTTTTAAAAAAAAAAATTTTTGTAAAAAATTAAAAAAGGTAAAAAAAAAAAAAAAAAAAAAAAAAAAAAAAAAAAAGC